CAAAAACTACTAAACGTACAATTCATCTTTCCAAAATCACTGCAGTGATTCACTTAACACCCATGACAAAAAATGGTTATAAAATTGGGGGTGACTTACTCAATAACCATCTTGCTTAGCAATAGAAACTCTAGTCCCTCTTGTCACCACAAGTTATGGATTAGCTTAGTTTATATGAAAAAGCCACCCAGCTGGATTTCTATAAGCAGTTGACTTGTATGCCCAAGAAAACGTGCAGTGTTCTAAAGAGAAAGTAACGATCCCTGTGATTAAAACTTCTAGCACAGTGTTTCAATGAAGGGTTGATGAGAAGTATATCAAGGAAAAAATTGGATGATTGCATGTTGGAGCATGATCTACATTTGTCACGCATGTTTATCTTCCTTTTAAAGCCCAGCCTATCTAGCTTAGTCCCGTTGTGTTAAAAGCATCATAAAAGAACTTTGCTTTGACATAATTTTATCACAGAGCAGTATTGAAAGATTTGTTATTGGGGTGGGGGAGATGTTCAGGTAGAGAAGTTTATCAGTATTACACCAAGAGCAAGGAAGGGCGGAATGCCAAAAGAGCTTTCCAGAAATCCTTCGTGCAAAATGCTTTTAAAGGAAAACATGATGCATTAAAAGCTCCTTCTGAAAAAAATCTTTTCAATTTCTGCTTCTTAAAAGCCAGTATGGAAAGGCTGCTATGAAATGTTAGCCAGAACCACTGGATGCTGACAGCAAAATAAATATTTTGAATATCCTATTTGGCATTGGAATTTCTTGCTCGAAATAGCCTTTAAATCTTAAGGACTGTTCTCGAGTCAGCAACTCTATGATTCAAGTTTTTTTTTAAAAAAAGAATTTATCTACAAGTTTGATAAAGAGATAAACACTGTGGTGTTTTTTCGGGGGTGGGGTGGGTGGGATGTCTTGTTCAGAGGTGGTCTTCAGCAGGTTCTGACCAGTTCTGGAGAAGCGGTAGTGGAAATTTTGAATAGTTCGGAGAACCGTCAAATGCCACCTCGGACTGGAGATTTTACAGTATCCTTCCCCTGCCATGTCCACCAAGCCCACAGAACTGGTAGTAAAAAATATTGAATCCCACCACTGATCTTGTTTTAATCTATTTCCATTTTGTAAGGGTTTGATTTATTCTGAAAGAATAAATGCATCTCTTCTCTGCCTATAACCAGTACAATCTAGTAACAGATATAATTCCCCCCCACTTGTGAGCAGGTGGCTCTGTTTGTTATATGTTATTAAATATATGTCTCTTGAGCAGGTGGCTGTGCACTTTCTTAAGATGTGGCTGGCAAAATACATTGGAGACTTTGTGTTGCTATGAAACTTATTAAGGGAGGGGCTTAGTACTAGACTAAAATAATAATAATAATGTCTGTGAGCTCATGACCATCTTGTTACTGTTGTAGCTTTCAACGTTGCTTGAGAAGAATTTAGCAGCTAGGTGGGTGGGAGAGAATGTTTCGCCAACTACACAATGGTAGGCAACAAAGGCGTCACTTTAATTGTTCCCTCCTTTGATGGCAAGTGTAATTTATTCTGTGTTTACCTATATGACTCCCAATTGTGAAATGTGACCCAGATTTCATGTTCTCTCCAAACTTTCATTAGGCAAGAATGACACACTTATCATTAGAGCGCACTAATTAAAGGAGAAAGTGACATTTCAAAATCACATTGCTCCCTGGTGCTTTAATGAAGTACTACCTGGTTTATTTTTGTCTTAATGAACTAAGATACGGGGTCTTTTTTTGTACTTAGATACATTTACAAAAAGGCAAAGCTCCTTTCTCTGGATTTGTGTAGCGAGCATTTTGAAAATATGTGGTGGTTGGTTGGATTTTTTTCAGCTTTGCACGAGGGCAGAAGTTGGACTTCCCTTGATTTTTAGGAATGAACATGTGTTTATTTTGTGTTGCCTAGAAGTCCAAGTTCTAAGTCCATCCTACATGAGGAAGAAGGGAGAACTTTGGAGAAAGAACAGGGAATGACAATGAGAACTTTGGGGAAGCACAACTTCTGAAAAGTGTTGACCTAGCAGGATGATGGATGTTGCCAATGTACATATTGCTCTAACATGTATATGAAATAGTCTACCTTTTGGCCTGAGCAGAGTGGTGTAACTTTTTCACTGGGATCTCCAAGAATCAGAGATACGATAAAGACAGAGTACTGTAAGTATCTGTGGAGATTCTCAGTCATCCAGGTCATGGTGGTCCCAAAGGTGCTTTTTTTTCAAGAGGCAACTGGACTTTCTGGTTTTTCTTTGAAGAAGTTTCGCTTCTCATCCATCAGCTCTGAAGAGGAAGAGCTGAAGAAGCTTCTTGGATGAGAAGCAAAATGTCTTCAAAGAAAAACCAGAAAGTCCAGTTGCCTCTTGAAAAAAGCACCTTTGGGAGAGCACCGTAAGGCTTGATTTACTAACCTTGTCAACTTTAAGACGTGTGGATTTCAACTCCCAGAATTCCCCAGCCAGCCATGCTTCTAGTCTTTTAGTCCAATCTCCCGCCCATGGCAGGAGCCCTTATACCAGGGGTGTCAAGCTCAAGGCATGGGGGCCAGATCTGGCCCATGGAGTGCTTAGATCTGGCCCATGGGGCTGTCCTGGAAACAGTGAAGGATTGCCCCCCGATGCCTCTGCCAGCAAAAATGGAGCTCTGGGAGGCTGTTGTGGCTGAAAACAGGGGGGCAGCACAAGCGGCCCACTCAAGCTGCATTTTCTCTGTCAGAGCACTTGGGCCACCACTGGTACCCCTGACAGTAATGAAATCAAGCTGGTCATGCCCCCCCCCGGCCAAGCCCCCGAGGTCAAACACAACCCTGATGCAGCCCTCAATGAAATTAAGTTTGACACCCCTGCCTTATACTATCCCAGACAAATGGCTGTCCAATCTTTCCTTCAAAACCTCCATTGATGCAGCACCCACAACTCCAGGAGGCAAGCTGTTCCATTGATTAATCATTCCCACTGTCAGGAAATTCCTCCCTTTTCCCAGGTAGAGTTTCTCTCGGATAAGCTTCTGCCCATTGCTTATTGTCCTGCCCTCAGATGCTTCAGATAATAATAAATTGATGCCTCTTCCCAGCCCTTCAAATATTGTTTTTTTCCTAAGCCATCTCTTTGTTAGGCTAAGCATACCTCCTTCCCTTAGCTGCTCATTGTACGATTTAGCTTCCCAACCCTGTGTCTACTTTGTTGCTCTTCTCTGCATTTTTCCTAGGGCTTCTGCAACTTATGTGTATCATGGATCCTTCAAAAGGCTGGATGGGCATTTGCCCAAAATATTTTAAGAGATCTTGTACCGAGCAGAGTATTAAGCTAGATGACCCTCCCTGTTCCTTCTCACTCTGGGATTCTGTGATTGATTGCTTATGGTCACAAGCCTGCTATAAATTTAACTGTCACCACCATCATTCGGAGGGTGAGAAACAGAAAAGAAAAAGATAGTATGATTTAGCTTCAATGTCAGAACGGTAGAGGGCTTAACCTTCATTATTTGTTTTAGATCAATACTTTTATTTAAATATGCCCCTGGCCTTTGAGGCACCATGGATATTATTTATTCCAAGTCATGAGTGGACGTGATGTTTAGAAAGAGTCATAGATTAGTGAAGTTTAGAACAATGCATTTGATACAGTATGGTATCATCCGAGCTGATCCTTTCTATTAGGGCTACTGAATTTCTGAATTGACTGCAGCTTTTAAACATTGATTCCATTAAGATGAAGGGCATCTTTACCAACAAATAAATTTGTGGGGTGATGTAATCGGACCAAAATAAACCTTGTCAAAGCCTTCCATTTATTAGCGAGGAAAAGAAAAAGGAAAAAATAAAGTGGAATCTGGCTATATAACACCGCAAATTTGCTTGAAGTAAAATATAATTTCTTCACTCCTATCTTTTTTGTGAAAAATGACTTTGTTTCCAGGCTCCTTAAAGTTCACAGCATTCCAACACCTGGAATTTTGCTTAAAGCAATCCATTTGTTTCTCCTTAAATCTTTTCTGCTTTTACATAACATTTGCATACAGCGAACCTTGGTATCATAATGGCAGCAGTTTTAGCATTCCTAATGAAAGCTGTTTAGCATACGATCATGTACTTACCTTGTGTTTTCTGGAGCATTTCCATTATAGAGTAGGTAACCAGATAATGTAATGGCCAGAGAGCTATTTAGCATTTCCCAAAATTCTGTTCTATTTTGAAACAGACCAGAACTGAAAGAATAGTATGGTTAATTTACAGATGATGGAGTAAAACTCTTCTTCAAGTATATCTTTTTATTTCGATGGTGTGGTGGTACTGCTAACTAGTTGCATCAATACACAAATAATCTAAAACATACAAGAGCACATACGACACTGGAGTGAATACTGTGGCCCACTTTTTTTTTCGTAGCATCTATTTTGCTTTATACAGGAAGCTTTTTAAAAAAGCATCAATTAATTCGATGCTTTTTAAAACAAAGCAGCGTCGTCCTCTCTTGATTTTCATTCAATTCTGCTTACACCATACTTTAACTTTGAATCTTTGTCCTTGGTCCTTTCTGTATGTTCTGTATGTTCCCTCTTGGGCTTTGCATTAAGGCAAGTCTAATGGTAAGTGAGAAAGTCCTTGAGAAACACAGTGAAGAGATGCTGCCTAGGGAATGATTAGATAAGAGATGGGGGTTGCCTGCAGCTGTAGCCCTTGACTTACAACACTTTGTTTAGTGACCGTTCAAAGTTACAGTGGCACTGAAAAAACTGACTTACAAGCATTTTTCACAGTTATGACCTTTGCAGCACCCTCATGATCATGTGATCAAAAATTCAGATGCTTGGCAGCTGCACATGAATGGGGAAGGAAGGAAGGAAGGAAGGAAGGAAGGAAGGAAGAGGAAGGAAGGAAGGAAGCAACTGGTTCATATTTATGACAGTTGAATTGGGTTGAGAGAGAGAGGGAATAACTGGCCCAAGGTCACCCAGTTGGCTTTCCCAGCTGAGGCAGGACTTGAACTCACACTCTCTTCTGTTCTGGCATGGTGCACTAACCACTGGACCAAAGTGGTTCTCTAGTTAGTATTAATACCTGAATTGTAGTGTGTTGAAGATACTAGACTGGAGTAGAGTAGACTAGATTGATCTAGACTCCAATGATCCTGATGACCAGGAAATGGCAGCAAAGAGTTTGGGTTTTCTTTCCTTCCTTTGCTGCCATCTAGTGGTCCCTATGATTTTTGTAGCCTGAAATTGGCAGACCTATGATTGCTGAAATCGTTACCTGGAACCCAAATGAGTTTGATAGAATAAGAATGTAAAATATAAAGTCCAGCCCTGAACTGTCCAAGCTCTTGGCTTTAACTTTTTATTTATTTAACTGTTGTTACTCTTAATGCTTTTAATGTTTTTACTATCACAAACCACCCAGAATAACTCATGATAATGAGATGAGGGGCATGTAAATTAAAGAAAAACAAACAAACAAATAAATATCAGTTCCGCATAGATAGAAAAACAAAGAGAAAAGGGCAAAAGTTAAAGATGCTGTTCCTGGGTCATTTGCATGTAATTATCTATAGGATATGGTGCCACCAATAAAAGCTCCTTTTAAGGGGATTTTGTAGGTCTCCTGATTTCTGGATTCTGTAGCTCCCCTGTTTTTATGTTGCAAAGAAAACATAGAAGTTAGTCCTGATAACAAATCTGTAGACTGCCCTCTTTCTTCTGTAATAGCTTGGCTTGTAAGCTCTTCAATTAGTGTTTCTCCACCTTAGCAAACTTAAGATGTGTGGACTTCAACTCTCAAAATTCCTCGGCGCTTCCTCCAGGGAACTTCGGTATTTTCAATACAGGTTATTCCATAATTGGTGTTTAGTCCCTCCCTCCCTCTCTCCTTTCCTTCCTTCCTTCCTTCCTTCCTTCCTTCCCTCCCTCCCTCCCTCCCTCCCTCCCTCCTTCCTTCCTTCCTTCCTTCCTTCCTTCCTTCCTTCCTTCCTTCCTTCCTTCCTTCCTTCCTTCCTTCCTTCCCCATTCATGTGCAGAACATTACAGCAGCTTTGTCTGTGTGCTAAACTATTTAAGCATGCAGTTAGTCAGGGGTGTCAAATGTGCATCGTCACGGCAGCGTCACATGACATATTGGGACTTTTCCCCCCTTCGTTAAACCAGGCGTGGGCGTAGCCAGCACATGACGCATCTGGCCTGTGGGCCAGGAATTTGACAGCCCTGCAGTAAGTGGAATGGCTGGAGATAGTAATAAAAAGGATGAAAAGTGGAAGAAGCAAAGAAAGTTTTCAGTGGGATCTTGGTAAATATGTAATGCCGGTTGACGTGTGGCATAGTATTTAATATACACCTGGTGGATTTGGGAAATGTATAAAATATTTTTTTAAAAACCTGGTATTTTATCCACAGAATTTAACATGGTCAAAATTGCTGGCTCCTCTGATTGTCTTAAAGCACTTCATAGATGAAGTGAATTAAAGTTCACTACAAAGAGGCCATTATCCCTGTTTTTCCAGGGGACATGGAGGTTAATTGTCTTTCCAAGGACCCTTAGGGAGTCTGGGCAGAACCTGAAATAGAAACCAAGGGGGATGTCTACACTTGCAGCCAGTACATCCATTTTAATCACAGAAGACCACAAAGGCAAGCCATAAAAACGTGTCTGAGCTTTAATCAGGTAACTTATGAGGATCTGAAAATCTGTGCTGAGAAATACCGCTATTTATGGCACAATGAGGCAAACTTCTCAGAAGCCAAAACTGTGTCCTCAATCTTATGATTTAGGTTACAGATGAAAGGCTGTTTGGGCTACCATTCCAAACACAGGATATGTGGCAATTTTGGGTTTTCCTCTTCCAGGATTATTCTGTAGTAAGAAAAAAAAATTGCACAAGGCAACATACCGAAGATGTGGAAGGTGCTCCAATACTGGAGAGGCTTTTAAGAAGAGATTGGACAACCGTTTGTCTGAAATGGTTTCCTGCCTGAGCAGGGGGTTGGACTAGAAGACCTTCAAGGTCCCGTCTGACTCTGTTATTCTGTTATTACTCAATAACCTTGGACAATCTGACATTTCTTAGAACAGGGTGCCAAACTTGCGTCGTCACAGCTTCATCATATGACGTATTGGTACTTCCCCCTCTTCGCTAAACTGGGCAGGGGCGAGGCCAGCATGTGACACATCCGCCCTGAGTTTGACACCCCGACATAGAACGTTCCAAAAAATTGAATGAGCAAGGCTGTAAAATGATGGTGTCATTGTCTAGAAGCATGCCTGATTATGTAATAGTTTCACCGTAATTTGGTATCTATGATGGAAAATCAAGTTGGATTAGGAGCCTTGATTTTACTTTTCCCATTAGCTCTTTGACTTAGGACTCCTGGAGACAATTAGGACTAAGAATGTCAGATGCAAGAAATCAGAAACCAGGATAAGGTTCAAAAGTGCAAGTTTATCCCATGCTACCTATGCACAAGAATCTGATCTACTAACAGTCAAGGTAAATTGGTGCCAGGTAAGTGTCAATGGACATCAAGGGGGACTGGGCTAAAGTCTCTTACTAGGGCACAGAGACTCCAAACTGAGGATACATTTGACCCCACCCTTGGGCTCAGCCTGGATATCTCCTACAAAAAGGCATTTGGTGGTATGGTTTACAAAGTGAAAAATGTTGGCACCCATTTCTGGGAACTTTTCCTTCGTGTGATTGCTAATATTGAGTGGCGTATTAAGGGCGACCTGAGGAGCAATACAAGCGGGCTCAGTTTTAATCTGGTGATCTCTCAGATTTGCCAAGGCATTTTCTTTCCTTCTGCCCACTGCTTGGAAGTGAGAACGGTTGTCTCTCATTCAGGCAAATGGTTTGAAGCTGAGAAGCAGTGGAGAATTTTGCTTTGTATATATACAGTCTGCATTTCAGTGAATAGCATCAACCTTTTATTGTGACGGCGTCTTCATTTGCAGTCTGGGTCTAATATCCATAAAATGTTTGCAGATTCCTTGATGAACAGCATTATAACATACAAAGACTAGTTATTTCCATGGTAAAGAACCTCTGAAGCTTTTAGTAATGGAATTTATTTGCATTCTTTTCTATTAACACTCAGTCTGGTAAATCCAAGATAATGCAATTTTGTTTAATGAGTAATGCCGGGATTATGATTCATCACTCATTTTTCCTAATTAGCAGTACTTGACTTTTTAGTGCCAAAGTGCCTAATCTTAAAACTGATCCTTCTTTCTCTCTCCCTTCTCTTTGGCAGTTAACTCACAAAATGTTTCAGTGCCTGCAGTTATTGCATTAAAAAAATAAATAACATCCACTTGGGCTTTGCTTTGTTCCAGATTGGGAAATTGGCCATTAACCATAAGGCAGTTCAACGTAAAGGCAGGAAGCTATGACATAACCTGATAGTTTTTTTTAAAAAAAATAGAACAGTGTAAGTACGACTGCTGATATTTAAGCACTGGCTGAGCTCTGTTGTTCTTGACAGGTAAAAGTTTTCTTTTCAGGTAATAAAAGATTTGAACATCTTCAAATCAGGGGTGGGATTCAAAAATCTTAGCAAAGGGTTCTCTACCTGGTTGATGGGTGGGTGTGGCCTAATCACCTCATGCACCATGATGGGGAAGGGGTATTTTTGGTGTCCCTGGGCTCTGGAGGTTTTCTTCGAGCCTTCGGGAAAGCAAAAATGGCCTCCCTGGGCTCTGGAGGCTTTCCGGAAGCTGGAAACAGGCCTAATTTCCAGGAGGCCCATTTTGCACCCTCCCGGGGCCTCCATGCATGCCCTGCATTTACATGCATTCAAAACAGGCCATGTGGGGACTCGTGGGAGAGGAGGGGAGGGGTGGGCGGGGCCAGCCAGGAGTGGGATTTGCGGGTTCTCCGAAACTTAGCTAGGGGCTCTCCCAAACCCTGCGAACTCCCAGAAGCCCACCCCTGCGTCAAATAGAGCATTACGAGGTTGATACCATACTAATATTACAATTCTGTGTTTCAATAATGGAAGGTTGACACTTACAAAATAGCGTGATTGGCAGGACGGAATTTCACTGACCCTTTTTCCTTTGTCAATATTCTGACATATCCTATAGATACTGCTGTTTTTTTCTTAAAACTTGTTTACAACATTAATTCTAGATACAGGTAGCCCTCAACTTACAACCACAAACGAGCCCAAAATGTATGTTGTTAAGTGAAAAATTGGTTGTGTGTTGTGCCCCATATTATGACTTTTCTTGCCACATTTGTTAAATGGGTCACTGTGGTTGTTAAATTAGTAGCACGGTTGTTAAATGAATCTGGTTTTTCCATTGATTCGGCTTGTCAGAAGGTGTTCTGACCCAAACCCTTTTCCAATAAAAAAACACGAACCAAAGGGAACAGAAACCTTTTAATGATTCTTACGAATCCCCAGTTAAAAGGCTGCTGCAAATTAATTAACATTGATAAGCACAAACCTCGCCAAAACTGTGTGAAGCTGCCAAGAATAACAGATAAGAAATACTTTACAACACAAGAGTCTTCAAATACCAACTTAAGATACTACAATGTCCATGAGGCTGAGTTTCAAAACGTCTTTGCTTCCTGCAAAGAACATCCAATTCACAGCTGGCTTTTATCTACTTGAAGAAGGGGCCATTACCTTGCAGCCTTACTCCTGAGTCACCTGTGCTACGGCAGCTGCTCTTTCCTGAGAGCAACCCTGTGCGCACACACACTTGGCACAGGCTCTTTGGGAATCTCCTCATCGCTGCTGCCAGCCCCCACAACCTCTGAAGGCAGCAGTCCACTCCCTAATGGTCCTGGCCCCTCATCTGAGTCCTCGGTCTCCTCAGCCATCTGCACCTGCTGCCGGCTAACCACAATAGAAAGTCACTAAAGAGGATCACATGACTCTGGGACACTGCAACCGTTATAAATGTGAGTCAGTTGTCAAGCGTCTGAATGTAAATTACGTGACCATAGGGATGCTGCAACGGTCATAAGTGTGAAAAATAGTCATAAGACACTTTTTTTCAGTGCTGTTGTAACTTTGAACGGTCACTGAGTGACCTATTCTACCTGTACCGAGACCTAAAGCAAGAAACTTTGTAATAGGACAACTCCAGAGTTTAATATAATGCATGTCCTTTGATCAATGCTGAATTCTGGAAATTTCTCATTACAGGTGAAACTCGAAAAATTAGAATATTGTGCAAAAGTTCATTTATTTCAGTAATGCAACTTAAAAGGTGAAACTAATATACGAGATAGACTCATTACATGCAAAGCAAAATAGTTCAAGTCATGATTTGTCATAATTGCTATGATTATGACTTACATCTCATGAAAACCCCAAATCCACAATCTCAGAAAGTTAGAATATTGTGAAAAGGTTCACTATTCTAGGCTCAAAGTGTCCCGCTCTAATCAGCTAATTAAGCCATAACACCTGCAAAGGGTTCCTGGGCCTTTAAATGGTCTCTCAGTCTGGTTCAGTAGGAATCACAATCATGGGAAAGACTGCTGACCTGACAGTTGTGCAGAAAACCATCACTGACACCCTCCATAAGGAGGGAAAGCCTCAAAAGGTAATTGCAAATGAAGTTGGATGTTCCCAAAGTGCTGTATCAAAGCACATTAATAGAAAGTTATGTGGAAGGGAAAAGTGTGGAAGAAAAAGGTGCACACGCAGCAGGGATGACCGCAGCCTTTAGAGGATTGTCAGGAAAAGGCCATTCAAAAGTGTTGGGGACTTTCACAAGGAGTGGACTGAGGCTGGAGTCAGTGCATCAAGAGCTACCACATACACACGGATCCTGGACATGGGCTTCAAATGTCGTATTCCTCTTGTCAAGCCGCCCCTGAACAACAAACAACATCAGAAGTGTCTTACCTGGGCTAAAGAAAAGCAGAACTGATCTGTTGTTCAGTGGTCCAAAGTCCTCTTTTCTCATCTCATTTGGAAACCAAGGACCCAGAGTCTGGAGGAAGAATGGAGAGACACACACTGCAAGATGCTTGAAGTCCAGTGTGAAGTTTCCACAGTCTGTGTTGATTTGGGGAGCCATGTCATCTGCTGGTGTTGGTCCACTGTGCTTCATTAAGTCCAGGGTCAACACAGCCATCAACGAGGAGATTTTGGAGCACTACATGCTTCCTTCCGCAGACAACCTTTATGGGGATGCTGACTTCATTTTCCAGCAGGACTTGGCACCTGCCCACATTGCCAAAAGCACCAAAACCTGGTTCAATGACCGTGGGATTACTGTGATTGATTGGCCAGCAAACTCACCTGACCTGAACCCCATAGAGAATCTGTTGGGCATTGCCAAGAGAAAGATGAGAGACATGAGACCGAACAATGCAGAAGAGCTGAAGGCCGCTATTGAAGCATCCTGGTCTTCCATAACACCTCAGCAGTGCCACAGGCCGATAGCTTCCATGCCACGCCGCATTGAGGCAGTAATTGCTGCAAAAGGGGCCCAAATCAAGTACTGAGTACATATGCATGCTTATACTTTTCAGAGGACCCATATTGTTCTATGTACAATCCTTGTTTTATTGTTTGCATGTAATATTCTAATTTTCTGAGATTGTGGATTTGGGGTTTTCATGAGTTGTAAGCCATAATCATCACAATTATGACAAATGATGGCTTGAACTATCTTGCTTTGCATGTCATGAGTCTATCTCATATATTAGTTTCACCTTTTAAGTTGCATTACTGAAATAAATGAACTTTTGTATGATATTCTAATTTTTCGAGTTTCACCTGTATATGCCAGCTTTTCCCAACTAGCAACTTCCAGATGAGTAAGGTGTATATTTCCCAGCCACCTTGGGAAGGTGTAGCCCGATCATATCTGGAGAAGGCATCAGGTTACAGTGACATGTCATGCTATCTTAGATGTCTTATATGGCTAGAATTTCAATCAACGTCTCTGACTTCTATTGGAGAAGATCTGACTGATCCATAGGTTATACACTGGAGAATGAACATGTTGGTTTTCTAGTTGCATTGACATTTAATGATTTGTCACTTATATTCTTTATGTACACTGAGAACTTAGGCACTGAAGATAAATTCCTTGTGTGTCTAATCACACTTGGCCAATAAAGAATTCCAAAATCCATTTTTTAATAGATTCTGGAAAATTGCACAACTTTGAGTTTGGGAAATTGCAGAGTGATGAAATACTTTTTCTCAAATTTAACAGTGAAATAGGCAACTTAAAGTTTTGCAAGGCTTAGTAGCAATAGCACTTAGACTTATATATTCTTCATGCAGAGGTGGTATACAACAAGTTCTCTCCAGTTCTGGAGAACCAGTAGTGGAAATTTTGAGTAGTTCGAAGAACCGGCAAATACCACCTCTGATTGCCATCATCTATTCTCTGCCTCCCAAGTCTCAGCTGATTGGCTGGGTCTTCATTTGTTGCCCTGCACAGGATAATGGAGCTGGAAAGCAGGTTAGTGGGGTGTGGGGGGAATGGGATTTTGCAGTAATCTTCCCCAGGAGTGGGGAGGAAATGGAGATTTTACAGTATCCTTCCCCTGCCACTCCCAGCAAGCCACAACACACCCACAACAGAACCAGTGGTAAAAAAAATATTCCACCACTGGCTTCATAGTGCTTTACAGCATGTTATAAGCAGTTTACAGAGTCGGCATATTGCCCACAACGATCTGGCTCCTCATTTTACTGACCTTGGAAAGATGCAAGGCTGAGTCAACCTTGAACCAGTCAGAATCAAACTCCTTGCAATATCGCAGTCTAACCACTACGCCATCATGGCTCATTAACACTTTGATTTCTCCTTTAAGAATCATAAAAATCTTTTCAGAAGGGCTGAACAATCTGTTTCTCCCTATATCAGGTGGTGATGGTGCAAGTTTCAAAGGGATTTTGAACATCTGCGAATAGACTGGGGGATTTTGTGAAATAGAAAGCTGTCTACTTTCTTTCTAATTGGCAAGTCTGTGGGATCTCCATATACCTTTTTTTACAGCCAATGACAATTCAACTATTAGCATCTTAAGATATACTTTTATATCTTCATTAGTCATGATGCTTTTTTTAAAAAATTTTTTTTTTCATTAAGCAATATTTGGAAAGGAAAGGAAAAAAAAAGAACTGAATGAACAGGGTATTTACAAACCTCATAGAATTATGTAGGACTAAATTTGTTAGGTAAGTATTTTCAGTGTTTCATTTATTAGTAATGATGCCTTTAATAATTGATACTTGGAAATATGATATTAGAGTCTCATTTTTTTACAAACCTGTGTTGTTTAGTTTAAAAATATTTTGAAAACAAGAATATATTTTTAAAAATTTGCTAACACTATACTTCATTACATTGAATGTTTTACTTTTCCATGTGACTTCAGGGTTTTAAGAGCTTACAAACTATATATATATACTGTATATTCCAATAGCCCTGAAGTTCTTGGTTTCAGAGAAGGGGCCTG